GTTGTTTTTTTAGACCAGAGTGTGGTCGTGTTCTTGTTGTTTTTTCTTTTTGTTATTTTTGTGTATTACACTTGTTTAGGTTTTCCTCATTATTGAAAAAAAAAAACGGAAAGGAACCTAACAGGTGTACACTGTAAAAAAATAAGTACTTTCCTGAACCCTCCAAAAAAGTTTCGTATTTTTTCAAAAGCTTCCAAATGCTTCCAAACGCTTAAAAACGATTCTTGAAACCTACGAAACCTTAAAAGGATCTGACCGCGGATACACTGTCAGAACCATCTCCTACGAAACCTTTTTTAAGTTCGGTACAGCGAAAAAAGGTTTCGTAAGAAAATACGAAACCTTTATAGTTTCCTAGTCAACCTTATGGTTTCGCACTATTGGTTTTATACGAAACCGTAGAGTTTACGAGGAAACTATATAGGTTCCGTATTTTTTTACGAAACCTTTTTCCGCTGTACCGAACTTAAAAAAGGTTTCGTAAGAGATGGTTCCGCCGGTGTATCCGCGGTCAGATCCTTTTAAGGTTTCGTAGATTTCAAGAATCGTTTTTTAAGCGTTTGGAAGCTTTTAAAAACTTACGAAACTTTTTTGGAGGGTTCAGGAAAGTACTTAATTTTTTTACAGTGTATCGACCTACACTCATATATGATCATGAACAATGGATATTGACAGAGAAAACTAGCTCTCGAATACAATCGGCTGAGATGCGATTTCTACGTAGAGTAGCTGGTTTGACACTTCGAGGTAAAACCAGAAGTTCCAGCATACGTGAATCTCTACAAATTGAACCACTTTTTCTTCATATTGAACGTTCACAATTACAATGGTTTGGACATGTCCTAAGAATGCCACAAAATCAGTTACCGTACCAAATATTCCAAGCTATACCAACGGGAAAAAGACCAATCGGACGACCAAGAACAAGTTGGCGCAAATACATCGAAAAACTCAGCCAGGAGCGTCTAGACCTCCAATGGTCCGAGGTACAACAAGCGGCGAAAGTCCGAAACCGGTGGAAACTACTACTGAACGGGCTTAAACCCCGACCCGAACGGACAAGAGGAAGAAAATGAATGAATGAATGAATAGCAATTGTTAAATCATGTCTAACAAAGTCATTACTTTTCGAACGCAATTCAATACCATACGTGTTAAATACTCAAAAATTAGGCCTTCTAAAAAATCAACGAGTGATAGCAAATAAAGTTTAGGATTACTGGTCGTATGAAAAATATGTTCTGTAGAGTGTGGTTCAAAAGTAAGTTTATTTACTTGACGAGGAATTTGTGGTAGGACTT